AAAGACAAAAAGCGGCTAGACAAGACAGGTAAAAACAAATAAAATAACACTATAAGTAATACAAGATTATGTTTTCATTAACGCTTATCATTGTTATTACTTTTTGAAAATTTATTTATTAATTAATTTATTCGTGAGCGGGAAAAGATTTTAGTTATTCGTAAACATAAAAAATAAATTTCTTTCCCTTGGGTGTTGGCTTGATAGTCGGTCGGGAGTTAACTTGGCTGTTTATTAATTGCTGGTAAAAAATTTTTTGTTGCTCGCTTAATTGTTTGATTTTAGCCAAAATTTCGTTTATTGTCTGATTACTAATTTTTTCGGCTGGCATCCGGTTTTTCGGTTTTACAATTTCGGGTATTACAGACTTTTTACTAATACCTTGTTTGTTTCGCAACTTGGCGACACTTTTTCTTACGGCTTCTCGTTGTTTGTTTTTATCTTTATACGGCATATTTGGTTTTACATATATTTTTATGTTTGTAATACCTTTTAGTAACACCAAAATTATTCCTCTTCTCGTTGGCGTTCTTGGCGTTCACACTTCCGGCATAAACCACTATCCACGCTAACTTTTTTATATTCATAGCAATTGCCGCAATCGCTCATTACTTCCTCTCTTTCTTCTGATTTAGCCTCCTCGTGGTCTCATTGTCGCTCAATTTCTTTACGAATTCTTTTCTTCTCGGCACACTGCCAGCACTTACATTTAATCTTGCCTCGTTCCTCGTGATATTTAGCGATTTCGATAATTTTTTCTTGGCTCTGGGCTTGCTGATTTTGGCAATCGTAAAAATAAGTCAAACCACTTTCACGGGCAATTTTTTCCCGGGCTCAATACTTAATTAAGCGGGTTTGTTGTTCGGGTTCCAAAAGATTTCAACTCTCGCCCTCTTTAATCTTGCCTTTGGCTGTCGTTCAATAATCACTAATGAGATTGTCGGCAGTCTCTCTTAACTTCATAATGTTTATTATGTCACCTACCCCTCGCTCGCAATCTTGGAGCGTTCAATTAAAATCTTTTCATAACTTTTGCCCTTTCTTTAATGCGATGTATTCTTTAAAAGACATTAAAACTTTAATGCTGTTGGCTCCGTAAAATTTTGCGGCTAATTCTTTTATATCTTCCTCGTGCTTTTCTTCCTCCCGTTCTTGTCTTTTCTCTTTGTTAATTATCGCTTGCTCTTGTAAAAATTCTTTGTTCTTTTGGTAATAGTTGCGATTAATTTCCGTGCGGGATTTGGTTTTAAGTTTTTTTGGTGTTCTGTTTTTTGGTGCTTCAACACTAATTAAACTTTGCCTTTGGGTTAATAATTGGCTGATATCTTTTCCGGATTTTTTGGCTCGGGATATGGTCTTTGATAATCGGGCATATTCCGTGGGGTTTGTTATTGGCATATTATAATTTATTTGTCAAACTGTCAAAGTCTTAAAGTCTTAAACTTTTAACTCATTTTAGTAAGCATTTTGTTAAGTATTTTTTTTATTCACATATAAATTATCACAAAAGAAAAAAGACACGACGAAAGAAAGGTGAAAGTCCGAGAAAAAAGTCATTTGGGGAGGAGTTAATTATTCATACATTAATAATCTAAAAAGGGAGTTGAAAGGTTAACCGCTTTTTGTCGTTTTGCTTATTTTTTTGCTTCTGGTTTTACACTTAAAAAAATAATTGCTGGGGTTTTGCCTTAGGTTTTTATTGAAAAGCCTATTTTTTTATTCCGATTGTTCCGCTTTTTTTTGTTATTCCTTTTCAGTTTCTTTTTTACTTCCGACCAGAAATTTAAGGAAATTCCAAAATGGTTTTAAAATTTTTCAAATTAGTTGGAGAATAAAAGAAACCACAATCAAAATTACAATAAATGCCAAAATTTTTACTTTGGTATCATAAATAAAATTAGCACTTTGTCTTTGGGCTAATTCGTTAACTATTCGGGTGCGGCTTGGTTCGTATCTTTGGGCGATTTGGTTTCTTTCCTCGGTTTGTCTTTCTACTGGTAAACTTTGGTATAAATTTACTCATAAGGATTGATTTTGGGTAAGAGATTCTTGTTGTTCGACGGTTCTTGTTGGCAATTGCTCGACAGTTTCTATATTTTGTTCTATAATTGCTAATTGATTTTCTACTTCGTCAATAATAAATTCCTCATTTTCAACTTCACCGTCATTTATTTTTAGTTGTTCTGGGTGATTGACTAATTGTCAAGCTCGCACATTAAAGTTGTAGGGTTTTAATTGGCGATAAAAAGTGGTTGCCGTAAAACTAACATAATTTAAGTTTTTGGTTGGTAAATATTCTAATCCTTCCCTAATTTTGCCTTGAAATCCTATGTAAAGAGTTTTTAATTGTTTACAATTTTCTAGGGCTTTTAAGGAACCAGAAAAATCATTTCTCAAATCTCAACTCCCGTCATTTACATACGGTTCACTTTCATCTCTTCAATCAGTTATCCCGAGATCTAAAACTAGTTCTTTTAGTTGGGTTAAATGTGAAAAAATAGAGAGATTGTCTTTTAATCCTCCATAATTGCCCCCAAGTCAAATCGCTTCAACCTTTTCGTTTCTGCTTAAATTTATACTCGTTATTCTTCCATAACTGAGAAATAAAAATTTTACATTTGGAAAAATCGAACAATCTAAATGACCTTTACAACAAAAACTTTTCGCACCGGAAAGTCGATATCAAAAACTTTCTTTATATTTTTTCTCAGCCATTTTTTTTTGTTGGTTGACCGTTGTAAAAAAATCAACCTTCTCTTTCTCGTCCGGCGTGGGTGCTATTAAATCCACTCATTCTTGGATTTCTATTCAAGGCATAATGATAATTATTTTTTTGGTGTTTTAACCTCGCTTTGGTTGTTTTTAGGCTCGGTTTTGCTTAACACATTTTTAGGATTAATTTTAGTAATTTCCGTGGTGATTTGGGTAATTACTGTGTCAAAGGCTTGGGCTTTGTGTTTACCTAAATATCCGTCAACACATTTTAAACAAATGCCGTGCTGAGGTTGAAAATCTATCCAAAATTTCTTTTTGTTTTTTTCTTGCTCGCATTCGATACAAATAATCGGTTTAGGAAGGAAAAATTTTTTCCATAACGAGGAAAAAATATAACGTCAAGCAAGGATAAGAAAAGCAATTAATAATAAGAAAAACAAAATCCCTCATAGGTGATTTTTCCAGTTGTGGGCAATTTCTTTTATTACTCCTCATATTAGTTTAATGGTTCCTTTAAGAAATTCGACAACTTCTTTTAAATAATTTCAGATAGTTTGGATAATTTTTAACATAATTTTTGGCATTTTTTCGCATGGTTTAAAGTCGCACACGAACGACTTTTTTTTACAAAGCGACCTTTGGCATCTCGGGACGGAGTAGTTTTTTTAACTTCCGCCACGGCATTAGGTTGGGTGGGAACACACGGAGGAAAAATTATTTCCTCGGGTTCGTTAGGTTTGTCCGGATTTTGTTCTAGGGATGGAAATTTCTCTTCACTTGTTTTTCAAAGGTAAAAAAGGAGAGCCAAAATTAGTAAAATAATAATCACAGATACGATTATTTTGGGGTGGTTTTTTATTCAGTTAAATATTTGATTTGTCATAATTTTTAAAATGTTGGTTTTTGCGGGTTGTTTTTAGTCCAATCCGCACGACTTTTTTTGCTAGGCACTACAATTGCGGCAAAGGGACATTACCCAATGGTCTTGGTCGTAGCATTTACGCAGGCAACGGAGATGGAAAACTCCGTCGTCGCAATTATCGCATTGTTCCTCGTAGCCTGGTTTAATTCCTCGTTCGCAATGCGAACACAGTTTTTTTTCTGGATTGTTTTTCATAACTTAAAAATTGGGCTGGTTGGGAATTTAGCGAGCATTTTTATACTCGGTTAATTCGGCTAACAATTTGGGCTTAATAGTTTGGTCCCATTGTTCCGAAGTTCCGTTAAACTCGGCGAGAAAGGTTCATTGGAGGCAGTGAAAACAGAGAAAATAATTATCTTCTACACCGCAGTTTCGAACTCATTGAAATCCCTCTTGGCAGATAGCACACCGCCAATAAGTTCAGGTGGGGTTTAAATTAATAACTTGGTGTTTCATAACTTTTCATTGGTTTTTTCTTTTTTAGGGGGTGAAATTTGCTGAAATATCCCCCAAACTGACTATCCGCTCGGGTGCCAATAACTACGGGCATTCTCTCGTTGTCAAGGAATAAAATAATCACTTTCCCAACGATTTAGATAAGAATTGCGACTTCTAATGGGGTCGGTGATTTGGGGAATAAAAAATTCTTGGGCTTCCTCGGCGTCGTATTCCTTCGCGTAATCGTCTAACTGGTTAAAAAATTGGTGAACGACTTCCATGTTCTCCGGAGCAAAAGTAAAATTTAGCACAGATTTAGTTTGAAAGTGGTTAAACACCGATTTATCGCATTGTCCGCTGGGCTTGGGAACTTGTTCTTTTTCCAGGGGAATTTTGCTAAATTCGGCTTTCTGGCAAAGCAACAATAAACGCGAAATTAAAAATTCTTGGAAATCGTGAGTTAAAATTTTATTTTTCCGCCGTCCGAAAGATAATTTTAGGGCTTCCTTTTTTTTACTTTTTCGGGCTAATTTCGCTAAATTTCGGTAGTTTAAGGAAGT